CCGTTTGACTTTGGATTTTTTGACTTTACAATGGTGTGAAAGCAGGAAGAGTTCAGTAGAAACCACACTGTGAAATCTGATCTCTTCTGGGGCTAGTGGATTTGTGGGATGAGATTCTCACGATGCTGGGTGGGGAGCCAGCCACCGCTCCCCTCAGCCATGTGATCATGAGAACGAACAACCTGTACGCTCACAACCAGCCCGTACCCACACAACATTCTGTTTGCACTTTGAGTGCAGTATTCAATGAATTACATGGGACAATTAACATTTCCTTATCAAATAGGCTTTGTGTTAGATGATTTTGCCCAACTGTAGGCTAATGTAAGTGTTCTGAGGTAGGCTGTAAGGTAGGCTGGGCTAAGCCAGTTTCGGTAAGTTAGATGCACTGAATGCATTTACTACTTTGAGTATTTTGACTAATATGGGTTTATGGGGATGTAACCCTATCATAGGTTGAGTAAGTTCTGGGCACCTGGGTGGCTCAGTTAGGCATCTGCCTTCAGCTCAGGTCATGATTCTTGGATCGAGCCCCACATCGGGCTCCCTGCTCAGCAGGGAGTCTGCTTCTCTCTCTCCCTCTGCTGCTCCCCCTGCTCATGCTCGCTTGCTCTCTCAAATAAATTCTTAAAAAAAAAAAGTTGAGTGAGTTCTATTAAAGAAATGAAATAATGCACTTGACCTCTGAGATATAATTCACCATCCTATGTGTACTGTGTGAAGGGTGGGAAACAGCAGAGAGAGAAGCTGTTTATGGAATTATGTAGGGTCCTTGTCTGTGGACCTATTCGATTTTATCGTCTGAGGTTTTCCTCTTAAAGGAGTACATAATGAGAGGAATATGATCAGTCAACAGAGACAGTAAATACAAACACATACATAAAACATCAGTGGTAAAGATCCCAGGCAAAACATTCATTTTCTTTTAAGAAATTCTGGAATCGGGGTGCCTGGGTGGCTCAGTGGGTTAAGCCGCTGCCTTCGGCTCGGGTCATGATCTCAGGGTCCTGGGATCGAGTCCCGCATCGGGCTCTCTGCTCAGCAGGGAGCCTGCTTCCCTCTCTTTCTCTCTGCCTGCCTCTCTGTCTACTTGTGATCTCTGTCTGTCAAATAAATAAATAAAAATCTTAAAAAAAAAAAAAAAGAAATTCTGGAATCACAGAGCTGAGGAATTTGTCTTGGTGTATTGGTGGGAGATGTCAAGGCAGAAGCACAGTGGGATACTTCCAACGGAAGAGCATTTAGCTTATTCTTAAAGCCAGCCAGAGAAGATATCGTACTTTTATCACAGAGAATTCCAGTGTTCCTTGTTTTACCCTCCACTCATCCACTTTCTGGACGTGCCAGCCAAGGGACTATGAGTGTCGTTTCTCATCGGGGCTTTCTACAAAAGCTGCCTCTCATCTCTCTCCTTACCCTAAGTCTTTCTTTGTAGATCCCGTCTGCGTAGCCACCTGCATTTTAGCTTCCTGAACTAAGTACGTGATCCTATTTCTCCATGTTTGAAACATGGATGGCTCGCCTCTGCCCACAGGTAAACACTCTTTCCTTAGCAAGACATTCGTGGTCCTTAATGATCATTCACATCTGGCTTCACCTTCATTTTTGGTCACATCTCTGGGTAAAACTGAAACATCCTGTGGATTTTCAAAGCCCATGCCTTTGCTTATGCCTCCTACCAAGAATTTAGGTACGTCAGTCCCCTGACTTATCTGTCCAAATTTATCTATCAAGGGCCAGTTCAATATTACTATTTTCGTGAAATTTTTCGTGAACCTTTTGGGAAAAACAAACAGTTCACTCCTCTATGCTTAGATAAAATATTGTTCAAATTACTAGTTTAGCATCTATTTTTACCCTTCTTCTTATTTATGTATTTGAGAGAGAGCAAGAGAGGGTGATTGGGGGGAGGGGCAGAGCAAGATCAGCGAGCCTGACATGGGTCTCGATCCCACAACCCATGAGATCACAACTTGAGCCGAAACAAGACTTGGTTGCTCAACCAACTGAGCCATCCAGGTGCCTCTATTTTTACTCTTTATTTTACTCTTTATTTTTAATGTGTTGGTCTCAGCGGTCCTATTTTAAGCATATCAAAGTCAAGGTCTGTCTTACTGTCCTGGTACACAGTGCCTTAACAAAGGCTGGTGCATTTTATGGGGTAGATAGACATTAGCTGTTGAACTGATGGAATTCGTTACAGTCATTTTGTTGCTGTTGTTCTGGCCAAACTTAAAACTTGATTTTTGTTTACATCTTCTTCAGCTGCTCCTTGTTTCTTGACTGCATCGGTAGTGGTGGGACGACTCTGGTGTGGTAATTACACCACAGAGATGGTTCTTCACCAGCCCCTCGGTGCCTAGCTCTGCTCTGTCCTTGACCTGTTAGTCTCTCCCAATTCCTGTACCCCAACTGGTCACCTCCCAAGAGTGTTCTGATGGCTGGTCCCAAGTAAAGGCTTGGGTAAATCAGTGTCCATCCATCAGCAACACTGGGCCAGAATGCAAATCCATTGGCTATGTGTTTTCGGATCATTTCTACAGATGCCTTCACAGGTGGATGCTCTAGAATCCCAGACCCTGAAATTATTTAAAGGGACACAAAAATTGCACAGATGCCTGTAAACAACTACGATTCCTACACAGACACTGAAGGCTTTACCCGAACGAGACACGGATCCAGATAAGTGATTCCTAAGGATCTCAGGAGTGTGTCCATGCCCAATTGAGGTGTGGCAAGGGAGGGGGTGAGTATGGCCCAGGATAGCCACTGGATTGTTCTGGATTCTACTTAGTGGTTTAAATGCTCCTTTTACAATTCCTATTTGTAAGTTTGGGTTTCATTAACGTCTCTTAAAATCTGTAAGAAAATTTTTAAAAAATGTACACTGGGATGCATCTCTTTCCTCCTCCGATCAGAGGTAACTGAAGCCACGAGGGGCCGATTTACCCAGAGCTGAGGATATCACACCTGTTTTTTCTCAGTGAGCCATCTTGGGTTCTTTCATCCTCTTATAAAGAAAAAGTGAAAAACCAGAAAAATAGAAAAATTGAGCAGGATCATAGAGAACTTTCCTTTTTCTCCTCTCTCAGGGCGTATCTATAAATTGTATGGAGAAGAAAAAGAAAGAGAATAGAAATCATTCTGTGCTCCAAAAAAGAGATACTTTTAAGGAAAGAAAACCCAGAATAACAAATTATTTCTTGAGCAGTTAAAAAGTCTTCGGGCATTTGCCCTCACCTTATACAAGCGATGTTCAATGACTAGTGCACTATTAAAAGAAGCAATGTAGAGAATAAGGTTAGGGTTAAGTTTTTAAAAATCACTTAAACCCTATTTCTCTTCTTATCTGAGATGCCCGAATTCAGTGTCAGGGGCTTCGTGAACCTTCCGACAGTCCATTTTTGCTTATCTCTATCCTCATAAGTAACTCGCAATCCAATTTAGTAACATTAAATGGTACAACCTAAACTATTTTAATAAGGATTTCTCTTAATTGGTTTTAATTCATTAACATCAGTGGGTAATTTTTTTTTCCCCCAGTGAATGCATGCCATCTTCTAAGGCGGCAAGTCAGTGGGAAACGCAGGCTCCTTCACGGACCGCCCTCTTACCGCACAATTAATGGGGGCTACTGACTCCGGGCGGAGCCCGGGGGCACGTCCACGACATGGGGAAGGAGGCCAGGCTTTCTGTGAAATGCTTCAGTGAAAGGTTACCAGGGGAACAGAGCAGGGAATTATTGTAACACAACCAAGGACTTTAATTGAGATCTAATTAAGCCAGGCAAGGCGCACACATGGAAAGAGGAGGCATCGATCTTTCTACAACACTGTGGAAATTGGGAATTTCCACAGCCTCGTTCTCTCAAGTTAAACGTACACAGATCACATTATTAAGATTACTGAACGTGGCTATTGTTCTTCAAAGTCTAGCTGACCTACAGCTTATCATTTACCAAAGCTATGAATAGAAGCAGATTTCTTAAAAAAAAATTAATAAATAAATAAAGATCTGAATTAGACCTCCCCACACAATATCTGAGGAATTTCACGTAAGGCACTTCTTTCTCTTGGTTTTCTTCTTCATGCCTTTTGTACCCTGTCTGTCGAAGTCCAAGACCACCCCTGGCCAGGGGCACTCCACAGGGAGACAGTGAGTGCCCTGTGCCGTGTCTCACAGCTCTTGAGAAAGCTAACAGATGAACCAATAGCCAAGGGCCAAAGATGGAGGGAGATCTTCGGGACTGCCTCAGGGGGAAGACCTATCCCAGGGGATTCAAGCACTGCTCTCCCGACACACCTTCTTTACCCAGCAAGCTGAGAAAAACAAAAGAGAACAAACGTACTACTCCACTATGCCCCAAGGAAAGAGACAGGTGCCCTCATGGTGAAGACAGGATGGATTCACACAACTGGGTAGAACATGTAGGCTGACAGCAAGGCTTGCTGGGAGGGATCCTGGGGTGGGGGTGGGGGGGGACTGTGGGTCCCAGGACAGTTAGGGGGCATCACTAAGCCGAAACACCGAACGGACGATGTGGTGTCGCGTCAGCAAAGAGGACACTGTGTCTACAAGGAGCAGGGCTCAATCAGACGAGAACGGAGAGCTTGGCTGATCCTAGTTCTTACAGGCTGTTGGCAGCGCAGGACGCATATTTCTGAACCCTGAGCATGTGGTGTGGCCAGAGAGAGGATCTGTGACACTCCACAGTTTGGGTCCTGTCTGATCCAGCCCCAATCCTGTCATTAAAAGTGAAGATGAGGGTCTGCACCGGGGCTGGGTCTAATGAAGAAGGGTTAGCAGAATTCAGTGTGTGGCTTTCTCCTTGTGGAAAAGACTAGACATGAATTTTTGAGCCAAGATCTACCAAGATCTTCCCTTCCGTTTGGTGTTTGAAAGCTCATTTTGTATCTTTTTTTTAACCCATGCTGCACTTCGCCATGTTTAACATTGCAAATTTCACACATGTATAAAGTCATGCAGATGAATGATTTTACCTTTGCCTGCACCTACATCAGGTGGAGGAATACCAGCTTTAATGAAGGGAAACAGAAATAGGACACTATATAGTTAGATGTAACACACCCATGAGCATGTAAAGCGATATAAAAACACTTATTAAAATGCCAAAGCATGCAGGAAGAATGAAGGGTCACGTACGGGGACCAAGATACGCTGGTGTCCCCAAGCTTACACAGCAACCAAATCCACACATGCCTTAAGGTGCATTATTCATATATTCCTCTTACGGAACAAGGCTTAGGGTATGTCAAACCTACTTTTGGGTAGAAATGTCAATTCCTCATGCTAGGGAAGATAACCAAACACATAACCCTCAAGTAATTCTACAATTTGGTGACATGCAAAATCAGAAAATCTTCTATAACATTTTTGGACATTTTCACTGAACCGAAATTCTTTTCAAATTAATTTTTTTTCAAGTTGAAAAGGAAGTATTAATTCCTTTTCTTGGTACTCTGATGGGGTTATTTTGCTTTCCCAGTACCAGACGGCATACGAAAATACAAAGTCCCGTGCTCAAACACGAAGTAAATGCACTATTTTGTAACGGTTTCGTATTCCTCGCTAGAAACCCTCAGCCAGTGTGTAGCCTAGCATACTATCTTCTGGTGACCTAAGACCGGAACCAGAATGACATCTATTTATTTGCATGTGGATGTGCGTGGATGTGTGCATGTGCTTTACTCTATTGATGTCAGGATGGGAGTTTACAAACAAGTGTTTGCATCCGTTGGGTAAGATGGATCCTCCGTGGGAAGAAGGAAAGAGAAGACATACACTTGGGGGAAGGACTCGGGTCTCGTGACACTTAGAGTTACGTGAATTTTATACATACCCATCTTACCTTCATCCACGTTTGTCACTGCTTCCTCTGTTATTTGACTTCCTGATCCTGCTGCTGTTTGTGCATAGAAATAAAACTTATACCGCGTGCTGAAATTTAAATTTTTTAAAGTCCAGCGCGTCTTGTTGGCAGGAATTTTCAGATCCACCAGCGGTCCCAACTCATGGGTGCTGTTAACTGGAAGTAAAAGAGAAGTGCATCCCTCATTAATTGCTATAGGAATACTATTTTTTAAAAAATTTTTTTTGACGGAGATCACAAGTAGGCAGAGAGGCAGGCAGAGAGAGAGAGGAGGAAGCAGGCTCCCCACTGAGCAGAGAGCCCGGTGAGGGGCTCAATCCCAGGACCCTGAGATCACGACCCGAACTGAAAGCAGGAGCTTAACCCACTGAGCCACCCAGGTGCCCCTTCTATAGGAATACTATTATAAATGAATGCGTCAAGCAAAAATGTCGAACTTGGATTACATTCCCTGTAAAATCCTCTTCACTCCTCGCCTAACGTAACTGTCATTAGCCGTTTACAACTCCGACACGATCGCAAACAGGCGGAAATAGATTCCCCACCCGTTTATAAGCGAGGGGAATTTTACGGCTGAATTCCAATAGCATTTCTTTTCTCTGTGTTTTCGCCGGTGGTGTCAGGTACTGATAAACCCAAACTTGTCCTCAGAGGCCTTGTGCCAAAGGAACGCCTTCCTTTCCTTCCTTCCTTCCCTTCCTCCCTCCCTCCCTTTCTTTCTTTTTACCATTTTCCAGTTACAGATAACTAATGCCTACCTAATCTAACAATAGCGTCCACCCCATGCTCAAAGGTCTGTAGGATTCTACAGCTGCTTGATTTATTTATTTGCATGTGGATGTGCGTGATTTTCAATAGCATGTATGTCTTTAGAAAATCTGATGTGAAGTTCCTTCTAGAAACATCACGAGAAGGTATATGCGTATATTCTACAATGCTAAAGAAATAACCAGTTTGTCTTTTAAGAAAACAGCTAAGTTTTTTCCTTTTGAAGCCATATTCCTCCCTTTCCTTCTCCCAGTAACTTACTTGGCTGATATTTTAAGGTGTATTCAGTCAAAATGCCATTCGGGCGGCTCGGTGGGTCCCATTCCAGAGTGAGGGAGTCTAGTGTCGGGTTAACAATCTTCAAAGAGGACGGAGCACTGGGGACTTAGAGTGAGAACACAGAGTCAACAAAAGGGTTTTTGGATGTTTCAAAGTGTATTCAGGGGACATGCTGTAACACGTTCGCCTCAGTCACTGAGGTTTTCTGTAACTCACTCTCGCTCCCGATTAAGCCAACACTGCACTACCAGAAACCCACGGCGAGAACCCATCCGGCAATTCTCTCCCTCTTTTTCCTCATCATTTCCATTCAGACTCATTCAAGTCATCCTCCAAAATACATAAAGACTTTGCCTTTAGATGGATCCAAACCGGTATTTTTAAAGGAGATGGTACTTGTTTCGTGAATGCTGTCTTAATAAAAGCCAACTGGTGACTAAATGAATCTATTCTAACCAGACCTTTGAGTGGACACAGCTGTGTTCTGGGCTATTAAGAACTGTTTTCTCCGACAAACCAGGTGTCTCCAAACAGCCAGAACACCCTGCCTGCTGGGCTCTGGGTGTGAGCCAGCCTGCCCAGGTGCAGAGTGGTTCTTATCCAGAGAGCTGACAGACGCCCAGAATCGCGCGGCGATGGACAAAAGCCTGGCGCTGGCAGACTGCTCCCCATCCCCACCGGCTCTGGGGACGACCCGCAGGGTGTCAGGTTCTCTATGGCGAAGGCTGGCAGATGACCAGAGGACACGTGCCCGGTCTTCTTTTATCCACTTCCTCATGAGGACAATGGATGGAGGCAGCTCTCCCTCATGCTCCTCTATGCACCCACCATATTCCCTAGGTCCCTTAATGGCACCCCTGCCTCTCCCATCACTTTAGCCAGAAACCAAGGAGTCAACCCAAACTTCCCCCTCTGCCTCATTTCCTCCATCTCCTGGACACTACATCCTGTCAGTTCTACCTCGTATGTCTCAACCACATCCATTCCTTACTGTCTTCTCTACCACTTCCCCACTTTGGGACCTCGGTGGCCTTTGCCTGGGCCTAGAAGGGTCCTGGCACATAGTTCTCCACTTCCCCAAGCCTCTCATCTCAGAATCTGACGACAGCCAAAAACCCTCTCCAGAGAAATAAACACATACTGTATATAAAGTTGGGGGTTTGTGGAGTTCCTTCAACCCATTGACCCCCCCCCCCCAGGAGACTACAGTCTTCAGGGGAAGAGCCTCCAGCTTACAGGTTAATGTCCATAGCATGTAAGTCCATCCATGGTATGGGTCCTCCTTCACCGACCTTCCTCTCTTTCCTCACCGTTCCTGGCTGCACAACTTCCAGTTCCCTGAAAGAGCTATGCTGCTTTGTACCACTGTGACTGGTGGGCACACTACCTCCTCTCTTCTTTATCCTTTAACTCACTGGTCATCTCTAACATGACACCTTCCCTGAACCATATCAAGGAGCCATGTGAGGTCTCACTAAGAAAGCCTCGAGAGGAAGAGGTCTTTAACCTCTGAAGGAGCAGTGGCCCAAGGACAAGCAATTGTCATAGGACGGGAGCTAGGACGCAGGATGACCCTCAGAGAATGTTGGTCAGGTACCAACATCACGAGCCCTTCAAAGGAGCCAGGACCCATTTTGCTGTGAACTACTTATATCAAAAAGACCTAAGGAATCCACAGAAGTTATTTGGCTCATTTTAAATTATGAGCTTGAAGCAAAATTCAAATGGGTGAATCCTTACCTTTCCTACTCCGCTGTCCCTCTCTCCCTCATCTGCTAGGCTCCCGAGTCCCTGTGCCCAAACTCCTCGTGCCCTACCCCTGTATTGATGGATATTTGATCCTCCCTCCCCCTCCCCTTGCAATGGCCCCTTCTTGCAAAACTTTTCCTTCTCTTCCCAACCCATTTTGTCAAGACTTCCAACCTTCTACCTTGGCTCAACTTCAGCAGCAATGATGCTGAAGGTGCACCGGGAAAGAAAGCTACGACTGACAGGATTATTTGTCTTCCCAGTGTTTTTCTTAAGTTAGCACATCAGTGCTCATGCTTTTCAGATGAAGGAACATGAGGCTCAGAGAAGTTGCAGAACTCCCTTCAGGTCAAAAAGTTAATGACCCAAATAAACATCGAAGTAGCAAGGTTTGGGGCCGTCTGACTAAGTGTGTAGAAAAACTTATCAGGAGAGGGGAGCTCGGGGCAGCATTTTGTTTTGTGAAGCTTCCCACGTACCCTCCGGCCACAGATGGGCTGACCTACACCTTTGTGGGGCCCCTTCTGTCAGGCAAAGCCTCTCAGGAGGTGCTGAATGTCCTAGGATCTCAGAGTCACGTCTGCCCCCTACCTCCTTCTGGAGTATTAAAGACTCTGTCGGGGCTGGCCGGGCCCTCCCCTTTCCCATTGACCACACGGACGTTCAGCGTGTAGTGGCTGAAGGGTTCCAGGCCAGGCAGCATGCCGTGAGTCTTGCTTCCCTGGAAAGTGAGAATCTTTTTCTCAAGATGGCGTCTGTTTCTCTTGGACGAACTCTGTGCCTTCCAGTAGTAAATCTGAAAGAGCAGGGGCAAATGTCAGCATGGATAAGGGAACAAACGAGATTCTTCCCGCTCACGAAATTCAAGGCTTATGCTGTGCCCTAGGAAAGGTCCTTGGTGCGTGTTAGAAGAAGATTCCTGGCAAAACTGAGAGATTCTGATTATGAGGTGAGACAGTAGAAACCCAAACCTACTGAAGAAAATGGGACTGAGAACACGTGAGGTAGCTGGGCTGTAGACCACTGGGTTGGAGGAGTGTGAGGGAAATAAATGGAACAGGATGACACCTACACAGATCTCTCTAGAACATAAGGGAAGGGAAGATGATGGAAGGATTGAAGCGTTTTACTTGTATCAAATATTCTAAAAACAAAATTACTGGCCAGTATTTACATACTTTTCCAGAGCTAATACAGTGTCACGTGCAATAGATCATTTAATTTAATCCTAAAAGCCACGGTGAAGCTTTTATTATTATTATGCCTTTAGCACAGATGAACCCTGGGACCGCTGAGTGCCTTGCCCCCAGCCACTGGACTCCAAAGCTGCGGTGGATCCTGCACTCCAAGTCTAGGGCTTTCTCACTAAGCCAAATGGCATCACTTTGTCAAAAATACAGTTTTTTTTTTTTTTTTTTTGGTATTAAATGGCAGGCACAGGTTTTGGAAAGATGGGTAAGCGAAGGGTTAACATTGGCTAAAAATCCAGAACTGCTGCTTAATAAGTCCTCTTAAATTCTTCTTAGAATTTTAAAGAGAAGTCAACAATCCAGCAATGTTAGAGAAAAAAACTGAACGTGGACTATGATGCAGTGCCTAAAGTGATCTCTAGGGGTCAGTGTTAATGAATCAAGCTGTGACTTTCTTCCTGGGTGCAAAACTAGCTCCTGGGCCCAAATCTCTACGCATTAGGTTTTCTGGGCTTCCCAAGAACAAAGATGAGTGATGGTCATAAGAATGACCCTTTTGGGACTATATGAGTTTGATGTATAATCTGTATGATTTTTTTAAAATGCCTATTATTTTCTGAACAATTTTGTGTGTTTAACACACGTGGTCAGTATTGCTTTAAAGCTACGAGCATTTGGTTGTATTTTCATTTCTTAAACACTAGTTTTCCCCATTTTGTGCCTCTGTAATTGTTTAGTTGGAAGAATTTTAGGTCACCTGTGGGAAAAAGGGAGAAAGCAGTTTCTTTTTTTGCCCCCACTTGGATGCAGAGAGGTTTTGCCTCTGCTCTGGCTGGGGTTCTTGAGACCTGGCTGGTCTGAGGTAATAAGCCAGATGAATTCTCAAGGCCTACGACCAAGAGAAGTGCATCCAGCATTGCTGAGGGCCTGTTCCTACAGAAAGAATGCAGAAAAAGCTCTCTTCACTTGCCCGATAGCCTTGCAGGTGTCCTCGGATACTTTTCAGAGGTACGGGGTCCCAGTGGACCTCAGCTAAGGTACTGTTCACCACGTTGACACGCACATTTCCGGGAGCCACCATTGGGACTAGGGAAAAACAGGAAAGGGGGCAGAAGTATCAATGTTATTTTGAACTTCATGCAAAAATGCCACTAACAATTTTGGCTTAAAGTATGACTCAGCTTTATGCTATGGACTACCAAGGATCGAGAGTAGATTTTTTTTGTTATCTGCTCATCTCACTTGGTGAGAATTATGAATCTTTTTCAAAATTATCGACACTCGGCATTCTTAACCTATTTTTTTTTTTACATAGCAGGCTGTCTGCATGCCAGAACGTTGAGCAAAATAACGGCCGCCTGTGTCCCTCCCAATCTAAGCACGCTCTAGAAATGGCCTTGGCTTGCATCTTGGTAAGTCTGTTTCGCTGGTATCAACGAAAGTATCAGTGAAACAAGATCAAACACTTACGGTCTTCTCCAGAATGCCCCATGACCACGGCTGGCTCCGGAGCAAAGCCCACGTCATTCAGAGCCTGCACCTTTATCAGGTACGGAACAAAGGTTGGTGTGCCCGAGACAATGTATTTGGATACGTTTGCCACCACCACAGATGTCCACTCATCGTCGCCATCTTTCTGGCGCCAGCTCACTTTGTACTGAAGGCCTGGCCCATTAGATTCGAAACCATTCAAGGGCTAGAAGAGAAGCCAAATAATCAGAGCTTATAAAACAGATAGACTGAGCAACCTTTTCCTGGAACACCAAATTCAGTTCCCAGACTTAAGGAAAGTGAGCACTGAAATGCTAAAATGCCAGCTATTAACAATGTCCTCCAGGGACCTTTTATCTTTTTTTTTTTTTTTTTTCCATTAGTGATGAGATTCAAAGCTTGTTTGGGATCAACATTTCAAAGGTTGTTAATTTCTATCTTGAAGTTGTAAATACCACATAAGCCTCTCAAACTCAGGCTCCACAGTCAAGGGTGGGTGACTTAAAGCATTTCAGTTACATAGTTTCCTTTATACATTTCTGTTTGTGTGACAGTACATCATTGTCTATTTTGCTCAGAGCCAGAAACTTGTGAACTGCTTCTTTCTTTCTTTCTTTTTTTTTTTTTTTTAAAGATTTTATTTATTTATTTGACGGACAGAGATCACAAGCAGGGAGAGAGGCAGGCAGACAGAGAGGAAGGGAAGCAGGCTCCCCGCTGAGCAGAGAACCCGATGCAGGGCTCGATCCCAGGACCCTGAGATCATGACCTGAGCCGAAGGCAGAGGCTTTAACCCACTGAGCACCCAGGCGCCCCTGCTTCTTTCTTTATTAAAAAAATAATAATAATAATAAGTTGGCTTGTCAGTTTGCTTGTCAGGATGTCCAATAATAAGTTGGAGGAGTGTGCTACTTTGCTACTTTTGATCTCAGGGTTGTGGATTCGAGCCCCACAGCGGGTCTAGTAGAGATTACTTAAAAATAAAATCTTAAAAAAAGTTGGTTTGTCAGTCTATCCTGTTTTACACATCTGTATGTATCTAAACGTGTACAAGTATGTATGCATATAAATGTGCATGCATCGGTTTCTTAAAATAAGTTTTAAAATTGCAAAAGTGAATATATGTTAATTTTCCAAATCCAGAAAATACGGATAAACCAGAAAAAGGAGAGAGAGAGAGAGAAGCAGAAGCAGCAAAAGAAGTTGACTACTTGGAATAACTTGGTACATGTCTTCTAGAAGGTTCTCTAAAATGATGATAATACCAGCTAGCGTTTTTTTAATATATGTGCTAGGCACTTTTCTAAGGGCCTTATATGCATTAATTCCTTTAATTGTGTGAGATTGGTTCTATGACTAGTCCCATCATATGGATACATAATGTTGGTATTAAGCAACTGACTTAAAAGTCACACAGTAAGTGGCAAAGCTGGGATTTGCACTCATTCATTTGGGCTCCAAGCATCAAGCTTTTAACTGCTACAAAATAACGTCTCTTAAAGAAAGATATGTAATGTATATTTTTCCCCAAAATGGATGAAATGGGATTTTAATACAGACATTGTTTGTTTGGAAAGAGAGAGAGAGCGAGCATGCAAGCGTTGGGGTGGGGGTGGGGATGGAGGACGGAGGGAGAGGGAGAATCCCCAAGCAGCCCCCAATGCAGGGCTTGATCATGTCCTTGAAACCATGACTTGAGCTGAAATCAAGAGTCAGACGCTTCACTGACTGAGCCATCCAGAGGCCCCAATACACACAGTGTTTAAAAACAGCTCCCCCACCACCCGACTCTAAGGTAAGCTGAGGAAAGCTGAAGGCTTCATGCTGAGCTCACCTTCCAGGTGATCACCAAATTATCAGGCTCAGATCCTAGTCCTTCCACAGCTGTGGGATTTGTATCAGGTTCTGGAAGTTAAGCAGCCACATGTGTGTAAGTTTCGGTCTTTTCTCTAAACAGTGGAAAACGTCTCTATTTCATTTCCTGTCACAGAAGCCCCGCTTTACCTGCGGCTTTAGTCAGATACTGTTCCGATGCCTCACTGGGCAGGCTCCTCCCGAGGCTGTTCACGGCCATCACTCGGAAGGAGTAGTTCACGTAAGGCGACAGCTTCAGCTGGGCTGTGGTCTGCATTCCAGAAACCTCGGTTTGGTGGTGCCACAGCCCCGCCTCGTGCATTGCATCTTCATATTCGATGATGAATTCTGGCCACAATACACACACACACAAACCAAGACAGTGAGGTCAGCCACTGAGGGCAGGTTCGAGGATACCGAACACAACGATCTGACAGGAGTGGCCAAACATGAGATATTTCACCTTCAAGAAAAATTCTATCAGAGCATTTTGATTTAAGAGTTCTATCAGTATCTACTGGGGCACCTGGGTGGCTCAGTGGGTTAAGCCTCTGCCTTCGGCTCAGGTCATGATCTTAGGGTCCTGGGATCGAACCCCGCGTTGGGCTCTCTGCTCATCGTGGAGCCTGCTTCCTCCTCTTTCTCTCTGCCTGCCTCTCTGCCTACTTGTGATCTCCCTCTGTCAAATAAATAAATAAAATCTTTAAAAAAAAAAAGAGTTTCATCAGTATCCTCAGTATTTAAGCATGCCCGTAATATTTAGTATTCTTTCTCTGGAATGCTGAGTTGAGTTACTTAAAACTCTATTTTATTTTTTTTTTATTTTTTATTTTTTTGAATTTCATTTTATTTTAATTTTTTCAGTGTTCCAAATTCATTGCTAAAATTCTATTTAGATGTGGTCTCCAGATCCTTAGGAAAGTTTCAATATATGAAAACATGGTCAGGATTTTTTGTTTGTTTGTTTATTGTGTTTTTTAATAACAGGAGAAATTAAAGACCGTGAGATACTACTTTCATTAAACAGACTGGCAGCAATCAAAAGTTTAACATACCTTGTTGACAGAGAAACAAGCATTCTCCTACTTTCTTTCTGGGAAGCGTAAATCGATACAACTTCTATAGAGGACAATTTAGAACATCTCACGATAGTCAACTCAGATAGCCTTTGACTGAGGAATGATACTCTTACCAATGTATTTCGAATACATGTGCTCATGCATACGCTCAGAGGCACAGGAGGAAGATGCACATTACAGCACTGTTTGCAGCTGAAACAAGCTAATTGCCAGCCACGTAAGTGTTCATCACCAGAACACTGATCACATAAATCATGGTGTATCCACACAGTGGGATATCCTGCAGCTGTAAAAACTGAAGGGGGCTCCTCCATATGCCTCTGAAATGGAAAGATTTCTGAGCTTCATTGTTCAGTGTAACCAAGTAGGGTATAGAACAGTGTAGAACACTTGGGTAAGAGGACAAAGATGGACTGTAACATACACACCTATCTGTACGCTTGAATATACATGTACTCGTCCCAGAGTATACACACTGACAGCACTGGGGTCTTGGAGAAAATGGAAGTGAGAGGTGGGAGGAAGACTTACTTTTCAGGGCATGCCTTTTGCGTCTACTAAAAATTTGTGGCATGTACCTGTTTTACCCTGGTTAAAAAAACCAGGTATTTAGATATTTAGGTATTTAGATATTTACTAATTGCCTACAACGTGCCCATGTGCGGTGATGTGAATTACAGACACAAAGACAAAGTAGAATGCTCTGTGTTGCAGTGCTTCAAAGCTACTTAGCTTGAGTCCCGTCTTGGAGTCCCTCTTTGATTCATACTCTCTGGAGTTTTGTTTGCTGTACCTTTACAACACACAAAATATGACCACAGGCGAGCGAGGTACCTCCGTCCCTGTCGGCCCTATGCCAAGCCACTGTTCTCTGTCTCTCGTGTGAATCACTGCAAAGCCTCCCAACTCATGAGTTCCCAGATTTTCTGTGTCTCAGTAATTTTTTTCATGGTTCCCTTAGGCCAAAAGAAATATCTAACATTTCCATGTAAGTTAAGTCCATACAACTTAATAAATACTCATGTCTTCACAACTTACGACCTCTTTGGCACTGCACGGCTTCTTGAACCTCGTGAAGAGATTGGACACCACGTTCCCCACTCCCTGTCACACACTGATTTTCACGTGGTCCTTGCTTTTTACCATAGCAAAGGCTTTGCAGGAATGGCATCATCTCCATACAGTACCACAAGAGCATGTGGGAGCGGAAAATTGCCTCGAGCTTGTATTTCACGTGGCGTCTGGCAGAGGTGACTGTTTTTTAAACATCAGCATTTAAAAGTCAAAAACTGTAAACATGTCCAAACTCACCCTTGTGAGTTTGCTAAGATACTTCACAGAGAACTGTGGTCCTACCCAGTCTCCCTGTTCCCCTCTTGTTCTTCTAGAGACTATTTTCGTTTT